GCCAGCCTTCTGGTTAGCAGTCAAGTGCCTTAGGCACTATGCTACCAGAGCTCCAGGAATCAAATAGAGGGGGCAAAATATACTTATCTGTATAGATATACATATCTCCAAATGAAAACTCAGTAGTGGATTTAACCAAGAATATTTAATATGATTTCTTCTTTATGTAATTGTTAGAAATAACTCCTCAGGGCTTAAGAGTCCTTGTGGTTAAATAGTTTACTTGTCTCTGGTAGCATAGTGCCTAAGGCATTTGACTGCTAATCAGAATACTGGTGGTTTAAACCTATCAGCCACTCCTCAGAAGGAAGATTGAGCAATCTACTTCTGTAGAGATGCCAACTCGAGAACCCAAGGAGGGGTCGCTATTAAGTCGAATTGACTCGCTGACAGTGCAGTTAACAATCACTCTGATATACTAATCATTCTGCCTTGGCAAACATAGAAGAGGCTAAGCATTCTTCCTAAAGCAGTGGTTTTCAAAGGGCATACACAAGACAGACTCTCCAAAAAAAGTTTTTTATACTCTTTGGAATCACTATATTCCAAGGGAAGGGATTCAAATGGAGATCTGTGTACAGAGGGAGCTAAGGAATGTGAGACTACTTTTCATATGAAATTGCCTAAATACTGTACAAGAGGAACAAAACACATCTCTAGAAGAATTTGGTCTCTGAGCCACCAGTTTCCTACTGCTGTAGTCTACCCATTTTAGATACTAAACTTTATTTCTGGACTATGTTTAAATTAGATGCCTAAAGGATGACATAGTATATACTTCCTTTGCTGTAAAAATGTTGAGGATACTATTCTATTACTAAGAGACCACTAAATGAAAGACTGAAGGAAGAAAATGTCTTTTAGAATTCAGTATTTCAAAAAGGTTTGTTGTCCTTCTAGACACACAAAAGACAGGCATGTGAGTTGAACATTTACCTGAGGTAGATACATACACTCCTTCGAGAGAACAATCATGGGAGAAAGAAGGGCTGATTGTGCACAGGGACACAAGTTCAGTGGGCAGGAGTGCATGGAGGGATGGACACAGGGAAGAGGTAACTATCGGGAGGAAGCTAAAGGGGAGCTGTTGGATTGTGGTAAATTGTGGTCAATGTCATGAGACAAAATGTATGTGTACTGCTGTATGGAAAGTGAATTTGTTCTATACATTTTCATCCAAATCACAATTTAAAAAAAAAAAAAAAAAAAAAACCTTTTCCTGTCCTCAAGGAAATGGAAAAATCGGTAATAGCTGAGGCCTTTCTATGTCCAAAATTCTGTTATGATTATTTTACATTAATAATTTATTTAATGTTCATAGTAATCTATTAAATAGGTATTAGGATTGCCCCCATTTTACAGATAAGGAAACTGAGACACACAAAAGTTAAAGATTGTGCCCAAAGTCACAGACAGAGAGCAAAGTAGCAAAGTCAGAGTTCATATCCAGGCAGTCTGGTTCCTACAGCTGTGTTCTTAAATTCTGGTAGTAACAATCATGTCATCTCCTTTCTTGCCTTAGCTGCTTCTTCAACAGTAACTATGCTGGCCTTATGTTCTGCATTCTTCTTTCTCCCCAACTCCTACTTTCCATTATTCTTTGTGTCTTTTAAATAGACACTGGTGGTATATGCCATCATAAATCTTTTCTATAGCAAAACCAAATTAAACCTAATCCACTGCCATTAAGTTGATTCTGACTCATGTAGACCCTATAGGACAGTGTAGAACTGCCCCATAACATTTACAAGGCTATGAAACGACGAAAGCAGACTATCTCATCTTTCTCCTGGAGAACAGCTGGTGGATTTGAGGAGTGGAAGA